GCTCGAACCGCTGGAGAGCCAATCATTTCTGACCGGCAACTCCCGCGTCATTAAGCCCTTAATAACAACTCCCTTCAATATATGTTGAATTAGAATTCTGTGTATCAGATGGCATCATCAGATGGTTGGCACCATTTACTGATCTACCCAATGCAGTGTTATCCAGCACCTAGTGAGGGTGACTTGATTCTGTAGATCCTTTGCACCCCAACCCTTTCAGTTACTCACCAAGCAAAAGTAATGGTGGTCTGCCAGTTGCCTTTATTGTACAGTGTAGTACGACTGGCTTAGTGGACCCTTTGGGTTGCCTTTGGCGTAATAGGTCATAGATTTTCCAGGTCTGAAGCAGACATTGATAACCATGTGGTGGAAAGTAGGTTTGGATCAGCTCCCGTACTTAATTCAGTAATATGCATTAGGGGAGTGTGAGAGGAGGGGTTGTGCTGTCCCTGGAAAGTCACCCATGTGTGTTGTCATCTGGCCACAAGGAGGAGGAGGAGGAGGAGGATTTGGCCAGTAATATTATCCAATTACCAAAACAATATAATTAAGTATAATTTGTGTTACAAAGAATTTAGGCTTTAGACATCTGATCTAAAAATAAATAGGATATTTATTCAGGAATTAGAGTTTACATACAAACCCAGAACAATTGCATCAGTTTTAGCTATCAAAAGGCATCTTAGATTGATTCATAATTTTGACAAATGCTCCATTTCTCTCTGAACAATGGATAAAATAAGAGCCCGAAAAACAGGAAAGAAGATGGCTCTTAATGTATCAGGGCTGGCAACCAAGTACCTCCAGATGGCTTGAATTACAGTTCTAATAATCTCTTGCCATTGGCCATATTGACAGGGGCAGATGGGAATTGATGTTCACAGAATCAGGAGAATAGCAGGTCACTTGACTTTCTTATTGCTCATGTTAGTTCCCTAACAACAGACCTACAATCGGGCATTTCTTTTTAAGAGACGATACTGTGCTAATGAGTTAATCATAGAGAAGAAGGTGCTCTAGCAATCTTCCAAAGCCACATAGGCCCAAGCTATAGATTTTCATTAGCCCTATCATGATCAGCACTTTCTGTGTCACACAGAAATAAATTGGTGATTAGAGTAGCCACACCTGGAATAAGAATGTAGTTCTGGAACCAATCAAACCTTGAGCTGTCATGTTACGGGCCACCTATAGCCCCCAAAGGTGTTACAAGTCTCCTCTGAGAGGATTTTTACATTTAATATTCCAAGCAGGTTGCTCACTTTTAGGCTGTCAAATGGGAGAGATCTAAGAACCTGCTGATCTTCATCAATCCTCCTCTTCACCCATAGAGCTTTGCTGAAGAGCCGCTTACAGAAAATGCATGGGCCAAAATCCATATATAATCTGGTTGTATGAGCTGGGAAAAAGCTAAATGAACAGAAAAGATACTGGTCACCTGCCACTTAATACTTTGCAATGCCTTCTCATAGTCTTCATCTCCCAAGGATATACAGTGGAGTGTCTTTTGGCAGTTCAGCTACTGAAATTGTTTCAGTCTCCCTTTTAAAAAGTGGAGATGGTACAAAGCATTTGTTATGGAACAAAGCATAGCCCCTTAAAGAATGGGAGGGAAGGAACAGTGGAGTATGTTAGCATAGGATTGTCTGTGCACCATCTGCATTCTTCGTGTAGCATCACCAGTAGCTTTCATCTTCCCAGCTAATAATACATTTCAAACACTGTAAACTCATTGCTGTTGGCTTAACAGGCCATTACTTTTAGCAAGCTAAGCATGTGACACCGTTGCTGTGTATTGTCATTCTGAGAAAAAAATGAAATGATGAAATGTAGAATACCACTCACACGCAGCCATGAATCATTATTTCATATCCTCCACATTACTTTTTAGCTCTTATAAAAAGACTTTTGTCAAATAAGCCCATAGCTCTTTGCCACTGCTTTAATGAAATCTGTTCCATTAGAAAACACAGAGGATTGCTGGACACTAAAGTGAGTGAAGTGTTTCTTAGTCCAGTTTCTCTATGTGCCTTGATTAGGCAACACAGGATAGGCATTAGGGTTGCATGGGGAGAACATTATCATCCACCACGTATTTTCCTACTCCACATTGATTTAATGTTTTGATGGTTGGATTTGTAGATCATTGTTGGAGATTGGAATTCAACAGGAGCCCTTGCTAGACAATATGCTTCCAAACATAAGCAGAGTGCAGAAAGAGCATTGAGGAATTTAATAGCAGAGCAACACAGTTTTTTTAAAAAGGTTCATCATATAGCTGCTTTGAATGCAGAGTAAGAGTTTAACTAAGGTATCAGTGAATGCAGACAGACATTCATTATATTGGAAATAAGAACTAGATTTATTAAGAAATACATGAGAATAGAAAAGCCTGGATTCTACCTGAACTATGTCTGGAAGAGAGGGAAGCACAAGAAAGAGACAGAAAGTTCCCTTTGTCTCTTAACCTCAGAGACTCATTTAACTAACAGTAGGCCAAGTGAGAAACAGACATAGGGTCAGGGTGTGAAGGCTCTTCTCCTCATCCATCTCTTGCCGTTTGCCTAAATGGACAGAATGGTTCAATCTCCAGCAGTCTTTATAAGATTGGATATTATGATCCACTGCATTAAATACAACAAGGGATGATTATCCTGTCCTGTTTTGGCAGCCCATGATGCCAAGAACAGGACTTTTTCCCCCTATCCCCACAAGTTTTAGCAGCCCACCCTCAGATTTAGAACTAACAAGAACTTTTGGATAGACACAAACTAATGCTTTATCTATTAAACATGAGCAGAATTATGCCATTTCATGAGATAAAATGTGATGGTCAGGGACTGAGGAAACACTGAAGTCCTCTAGTTCATTGACTAGAGTCCTTATTTAATAGAACATCTCTGTGAGAGATGCTTAAGATTCAAAATGATACATAAGGAAGTTTCATGCTATGGTAGAAAGCCTGCTCCTCAGTGCTTTCTGCCTTTCTGGTACAGGAAGAGAGAAGAAGGGAAGAACTCTCTTCTTCCTGAAGGAAGCAATGGAGAACCTAAGGGACTTAGTCTTTCAGCAGCAAGACTATGGAACAAGGAGGAGACCCTTGCTTGCCATCTTTCTTGCTGATGCTTCTAATAATCAATAGGATGAAAGTTGCAAAGAGTTGATTCTTCTTGAGATGCTTCTACAATAGTGGTGGTCACTATCTTAGATGATGTTGCAAATGTACTTGAAAAGTACAGATAGGTCTATCAATAGTTCTTAACCATGATAGCTTAATGAAGTCACCACCTGCAATATCAGTATACTAATGAACACATCCATTTGCATGTGTTTGGTTTTTATTCTATTTTTACTGTATTTTATATTGTATTATATTTTAATATTTATTGCTGTTTTATTGTGAACCGCCCAGAGTCACTTTTTGTGAGATGGGCGGTATCTAAATCTGAAATATAAATAAATAAAAATAAATAAATTAGTGGGGATAAAGGAATGCAAGAGGGTGGTCACCTTGTAAATTTTCAGAAGCATCTGGCTGGGTGCAGATGGGAACTGAATAATGGAACAGATAGATCTGGTCCAAGACAGCAAGCTTGTCATCTTCTCCACTAAGGCTCTTCCTCTTCCCTTTTTTATCCACTTTCTGTTCATCCAGTGGTTAATATTGCCACACTGCTGCTCTCATTTTAATGTTTTTACAGCTCTGCACATACATGTTTTGGGAGACAGTATATATACAAACAGTATAGTACAGTGAATAGCCGAGAACTAGCACAGTGAAAAAGTGGGATTAAAATTAAATACAAAGAAGACCAAACTAATGACAACAGGTAGAACAACAAGCCTTAGAACTGACAATGAGGTTATTGAAGTAGTGGATAACTTCTGCCTTTTAGGATCAACCATCAACAGTAAAGGAGCAAACAGTCAAGAAATACGCCACAGACTAGCATTCAGGCTAGCATTCAGTCCTGAAGGTCTTGGAAAAGATATTCAAATGCTGTGATGTGTCTACACCTACAAAGATCAGAACTGTACAAGCCCTGTAACATTCTACGGAAGCAAAAGTTGGATCTTAAAGAAACAGGACAGGTAGAGTATTGATGCCTTTGTACTTTGTTGCTGGAGAAGACTCCTGAAAATACTGTGGACAGCCAAGAAAACAAACTGATGGATCATTGAACAATCAACCCAGAGTTCTCATTAGAGGCACAAATGACCAGGCTCAAATTATCCTACTTTAGACACATTATGCGAAGACCAAGCTCTTTGGAAAAGGCTCTAATGCTTGAAAAGATGGAAGGAAAGAGATGAAGAGGATGATCAACAGCAAAGTGGGTGGACTCAGTTACTGTGCACCATTGAGAGACCTGAAAGAACAAGTTAGGGATAGATCATCCCAGAGAAAATCTATGTGGTCACTAGGAGTTGAAAATGACTTGATGGCACATAATCAATATGTACAAATATGATGGTGCTCCAGTGTGCACACACAGTTCAGATAGAGAAGCAACCTCTGTGCTGGAGTTCTGCACGTGCTTTAGTACCTGATTTCACGTTCCCAGTTTTAATCCCCAGCTCACCTGTCAGCTACTCCCAGAATCTTTGGCTGTTGATGATGATGATTGGGAAGAGCAGGTGGAGGATGGTAGTGGCTCTAAAGCCTGATCAGCAGAAAGAAATTGGGTGGTGGGTTTTTAGAAGAATCTACCTTAAGATGTTGCTGTTCTTCCATGTACCTCTGGAGGAGGCATGACTTTCCAATTTATTAAGTATCATAAAGATGCTTACATTAATCTTTACAGCCTGTTTATGCTTAGAAATTTTCATTACATGACGGACTTCTCAGCTCTGGAAGCCATCTCAAGCTTTCAAGATTAATTGGGATTTAAAATCCAAACCAAATAAATTAAAGCAAGAACTAGAGCACAGGTGGGACTCTCTAATATGAAAAATACTGGACAGTATTGGTTCATCTGATTTTTTTTAAGGGGTTTATTTTTTGAAGTTGCACTTTTAAGTAAAGAATCGTATAACTTTGAACAGTGGCCAGACAAAAGCCTTTCCTCTTGTACCAAATGGCACCATCATTGCCTCACTGTCTCCATTTATTGGAGGAGGTGCAAACATAAGCTTGCTTAATAGCATTCACCTGTCCATCAACTCCCAATAAATCAGCCTTGTCCTGCCGCATCTTGCACAGCAGATTTTTCTCCTTTCCAGGAAACACATTCCATCATGATGCCCTGGGTCTTGCCATCTTCCAGAATATTCCACTCCCTTGCTCCTCCCCCCCCTTTTGTAGTCCCCTCCAAGATACTCAGCATCCTGTGGATACTAAATGTCCTCATTAGACTAAGCGTGGGGTTCAAATCCCACCTTAGATTATTCTTCCAAAGTTTGGTTCTTCGGCAAACTCCAGATGCCACATCCATGCCAGTAACCCCTCATTTCTCACTGTGGCTTACTTTTGATCTCTATCCCATTGGCAGACAACAGCTGGATTTACTGTTAAAAGAAGTGACCCAGTAGACAAAAGTTCAAAGGTGGTGAAATTTCTGATCATCTTCATTTTTGGGATCTGGGTTGAACATGTTTCAACTATCAGTGAGCCACCCAGAGACGTTAAGAGTCAGGTGGCATACAAGTTTAATAAATTATTATGGTTGGTCACACAGCCAGATGTTTAGACTGGATTTGGCATTTTTATCTACCTATTGAATTATTGTTGTTGTTGTTGTTGTTATTATTATTATTATTATTATTATTATTATATAAAAGGACGGAGATAAATAAATCAGTGGACTCTCAGCCTCTCCCTAATGCCAAATGTTTCCAGGGCCACAGCAGCCTTCTGTGCTTAAAAGTCACGTATACCCATGTAAGCAGGGGAAATCTTACAATTTGTAAGCAACCTCAGAGGTCATTCAGTCCAATCCCCTCTTCAGTGGAAGATCTGCTAAAGCATTTTAAACAGATGGCTATCCAGTCTTTGTTTGAAGCCTTCCAATGAAGGGAAACTTACTATTTCACAAATAAACCTATTCTACTGGTTCACAGTCACAATCATCTTTATTTGGTCAATGACCAATAAAATTTAAAAGGACAAAAACAAAGTAAAATGAAGCAAATATATATAATAATGTAGTAGCAACTAGTACAATAAATCACATAATAATATAGCTTGCTTGACATTTCTTACGGTCAGGAAATGCCTTCTATTATTTCAATTTCCTGCTTGCCTATGAGTTTCTCAGAACATCTGCTCTGACCCTTCTTAGAGAAAACCTGTTGTATTCAATAGATCTTTGGTATACTTTACACCAGTGAGTCACCTCCTACAGTATATTGTCCCACTTTGAAACATTCCAGTTGCCTGCCTTCCTTCCTTCCTTCCTTCCTTCCTTCCTTCCTTCCTTCCTTCCTTCCTTCCTTCCTTCCTTCCTTTGCAGATAAAGCAAATTTTTCATGTTCTTGGAACATTGTACATCATCTGTTGTTTTGCCTTTTCCTTAGGTGAAGGTGAAGGGAAAGAAGAAGATGAAGTTCTCACTCTGTTGTATGACCCATGCCTAAATTGTTACTTTGATCCCGAAACTGGAAAATATTATGAGTTGGCATAAATATTCGCAGACATGAGGAGTGCTGCAAAAAACCTGAACTGTGCAGCACTTGAGAGCCTCGGCAAATGCTCTTCTCCCTGCTCCAAAGGCAAACAGAGAAATATTTGAAAAGACCATGTAATGTTTTGTCTCCTGTTCCCATTTCTGCTATTTTTATCAGAGTGCTTAGAAGCTTCTCTGATTTTCATATACATGTGTTTAATTGGTTGCTGTTATTTACAATATGGAAGATTCCTATGCACGAACTGAATTACACCAAATCAAAGAAAGATATGTCCTGGATTAATTTGTGAATGCTTGCATGATTTTTTTTTCACCTAGTCATTTTTTTTATCCCTGATCATTTAAAGAGATATATTGCATCTTTGTACTTCAGAAAATATAATGTTCAAAAAGAAGTACCTCCATCAATTGTCTTTTCTTTTTTATTCCTACTATGTATTAAAATAATGTTCTTTTTTTTTTTAATAGGGAGATAGTAAGAACCTTAGAGGATAATATCAAGATTCAGGAGGATCTTGACAGGGCGGAACAATGGGCAGAAATCAGGCAATGCATTTCAACAGGATCAAATGCAAAGTCCTGCATTTGGGTAGGAAAAGTCAAAGACATGAGTATAAGCCTGGGGGAACCTATAGCTGATTTGGGTGTTTTAGTGGATCCCAAGGTGAAAAGAGCCAGCAGAGTGATGCAACTGCAAAAAACAAATGTAAGGCTGCTTCAAAAGAAGTATAGTGTCAAGGTCAAGAGAAGTCACCATCATTCCTTTCTGTTGTTTATTGCTTAGCTCATGCCCAGAATATTGAATTCAGGTCTGGGTACAGCATTTTAGGAAGGGCTGTGACAACTAGGAGCATGTCCAGAGGAGATAAGGGTCTTGGGGACAAAAAATCTAATGAGGAACGATTGGAGGTATGGACGTGTTCAGCCTAGGGAGGAAAAAGCAGGGGGGGGGACATAATGATTGCCTTCAAGCATCTGAATGGCTGTCATGTAGAAGACAAGGCAGATTTTTTAGACTTGTTTCAGAAGACAGGACAAGAAACAATGGATTTAAACTATAAAAAAGGTAAATTCTGGTTGAATATCTGGGAAGTTTTTCTAAAGGTAAGAGCTGTTCAACAATAGGACAGACTGCTTCTGAATGTAGTAGGTGCTCCTTTGCTGGAGGTGTTTAAACAAAGTCTGGATCTGTTGGGAATGCTGTGGTAGTGGACTCCTGCACTGGCAAGGGGGTGGACTAGATGGTTCCTAATATCCCTCTTACATTCTTTGAAACCTCAGATGTCCTTTTTGCAGTTTATGAAAAACTCAAAGAACTTTTGTCAAGCTTTCAGAAAATATGTACTCAGATTTTTTTTATTTTTTTTTAATTCTAGCAGTTTTCTTGGCAAGATTTTTCGGAAGTGGTTTGCCCTTGCCTTCTTCTTCCTAGGGCTGAGAGAGAGAGACTGGCCCAAGGTCACCCAGCTGGCTTTGTGCCTGTGGCAGGAATAGAACTCACAGTCTCCTAGTTTTTATCCTGGTGCCTTAACCATTACACCAGACTGGCTGTCCCACATGCTAACTAGATAATGAAAAAAGTACCCTATCTAGACCTATGCTATTATTTAAAGCCATGAGAGATTAACTTCTGGGTAAGAAAACCAGAGATGCTATGTTGAGAGGAAGAAGGTATTAAAAGTGGAAAGATGATCAAACCCCTCTTCTGACACAAGGGCACAACCTGAGGCCCCAAACCCCATGCAGCCCTTGAAGACCTTGGGTGTGGCTCCAAAGATCTCAAAGCATGTCTCAAGTGGTTGTTTTTAATGTAACAGAACATTATGAAATACATAAGTGGAGAGTAATCTCATTATATGCATCTGATTGTTATCAAATATAAACACAAGTTAAATGGACCCAGTTTTAGTTCTCTGCTGAACCCCATCCAATACAGAGGAACTCAACTTGGTTTCCAGAATCACGTGCTCTCAAAAGGATCAATATTTCAAAACAGCAATAGGGAAATTAAAGCTAAAATTCCACCACTGGTGAATTCTGAGGGCCAGTAGTTAGCCAACTTTTCCCAACGTTCAGCTTGTCTTATTTTCCCACACTTGATTTTCTGTGCTCGCTCAACTCCATTCAGGCTAGAGGATTTCAACAGACGGCTTCAGTCACCAGATACTTGCCTGACCTGCTGCCGGTTTCTCAACAAGGTAAGTGCGGCGCTGCTGCCGAACACATGATCTCATTTGACAAAATATCAAACTTTGTGACAGTTTCACTTACAGGATGTCACACCAGCTGTGACTGGATACTGGGCTCCATGGCTCACTTGGCATATGGCATCTGAAAAATGACAAGGGAGAGTCTGATGTTGATTTTTGTGTGTGCAAACCTTCTGGAACTGGTGGCTTGTAACAATAGGCATGCAATGTCACTTGGGCTTTTTCGAAGGCAGAAATGCAAATATACCATGGAAGAGCTTTTTCTCTCTCAGAAATAATAAGGTCACAGTCAATAGAAAGGGCAGGAAAACAAAAAGAATTGCAAATGTTTTTAAAAGATAGGGAGGAATACTTGAAGGACTGGATTAAGTGTTTTGGAGAAGGGAAGGTAGCAGGAAGAGCAGAAGTTTAATAAAATCCCTAGTGCCTTGAAGAAATGGGATTATGCTAAAGGCTGGATTTTTCACATGGTCCCTTTTTCATTTGTTAACAAATAAATACCAGCATGATGCCCATGGATTGTGCTGTTCCGAAATAATTAGTGCTGGTTTATTTTGAAATCAAAGGATGGTTTTAAAAGGAAAAAAACAAACATGAGCTCTATTTCCTGCAAATGGGAGTAAAAAGCAGATGGGTTAACTTTAATGTTACTGTTCATTTTGTTGCTGCTCTTTTCCTTAAACAGCTATGCCCAGCAACTGGTCTGTAACATCTCTTCCCTTGTGTCAGGGTGCCACAAATCATGCTATGTTTTTTAGCAATGCTCTACCACATGACTGAGCATGGTCTTAGCACAGTGTTTCTCAATCTTAGAATTCTGGGAGTTGAAGTCCACATTTCTTAAAGTTGCTAAGGTTGAGAAACACTGTCTTAGCAGAATCAAAACCAGTTCATCTCCATCAGAACTTACTTACAGAAAAAAAGGAACTCCATAGTCCTTTTTGCTACAGTATGTCAAATGGGATTCCCTTGGCCAGCTTGAATTATGCTTTCTGCCTCATTCCATTTTCTGATGTCCACTTGCTACTTATGGAACTTAAGCCTTACCTGCTTTAGACACACTAATGTTCTCCATCTCGCCATCCCTTTTCCCAGCTCTTTTAAATTCTGAGAATTAGCACTTAAAGTTTGACTCTTCTAAGTCCCAACTGGTCCAGCATTTTTTTTTCCCCCAGCAATGGGCAGCCTCCACGGGGCAGAGAAGATGGCCAGCTTTCCCAGCTTCATTGCTGCTTGGAATCAGGTATGGTAAATCTTCTGATCCTCCAACAAGCATAGAAACTTTTCTGGATCTTTATAATGAACGGGAAAGATACACTGATACTCCAAGTGTGACTTTTAAAGAACTGTCTTTTCCATCAGTTGTTACTGCATCTGCAACATTCACAGGGACCACAGTTTAGAATTACATTACTGTATTACTGGAAAGGTTTCCAAAGCATCTTGCATGTAACAATTTAAAAAAAAAGTCAGTCTCTGCTTTCATGTAATAGTTGTGTGTGTCTCTTAGGGCAGGTATAGCAGTAGGCAGCTCAGGAGGGCAGGAACATTTCTGCTACCGATAGGCTGCTGCAGAGCAGGGAAGGAAGCATGAGGTGCCACTAATGACTGTTAGTCATACACAGTTACGTTTTTGGTGGATCTATCAGAAGGCAGATGTTTTAGTGATATCAAAGCATCAAAATGAAACTGAAAAAAAGACTTGAGTTCTAAGATCATCCCTTGTATCTTTGGAAAAAATAAGCTGTGAGTCAACCCTTGCAGAAAGTTAGGCTAAGGGCAAGATGCAGCTGATAAAACTGCAAATGCTATATTGAGAAGTATAACCAAAGCAGAGCATCCAGATCATGAGAAGTCACTGCCCTGCCCTGTCCTGTCTTTGCTAGGTCCCATGTGGAATTCTGGGCACCAGAGTTCAGAAAGGATGGTAACAAATTGGAGTAGCTTCAGAGGAGGGCTACCAAGATGGTGAGGAGATTGGCAACCAAGTCCAGTGAGGAGTGGTTAAAGGAACTGAGTATGTTTAAACTGCGGGGGAAAAGATTGAGAGGAGATATGATAGTGGTCTTCAAATATGTAAAGGTTTGTTATAGAAAGGAAAGAGAAGACTTGTTCGCTGCTGCCCCAGAGAGCAGGACTAGAACTCATGGCTTGAAACCATAGGAAAGTGGGTTCAGGTTAGATATTAGGTGGAATTCCCTTATAATATGAGCTCTCAACCCATGAAATGGGTTGTTTCATGAAGCGGTATGTTCCCTTCACTGGAGATGTTCAAAAGTGGCTGGAAAGCCATCTGTCCCAAACCCTCTTCTTCTTTCCACTCCATGATTTTTATCATTCAATTAGCCCTATTTACTGTTGCACAGTCACAATGCAAACAAGACGCCTGAAAGGGGCCCAGTCTTTCTTTCTAGCTCCTTCGTCATTGTCACTCAGGGAGCCTTGGACTATAAAGCATCACTGTTATGAAAGCAGGTATTGATTCTTTCCTTCAACCACAGTATGTCCTGCTGAAAAAGGCACAAGTCTTCCGAAAGCGTGCAAGTTTGTTCCCAGCCAGTGAGTCAGAATATTGTGGCCAGCAATCAGGTGAAAAGTACTCTTTCCATCCTGCCACTTTTAACAGTAGGAAAAATCAGAATTTTTACTATTTTAGGATTATCTTAAAAGAGATCCTTAACTGGGTCTCTGGAGTTTTTTTCCTGAATTAAGAGAGTTAAAAGCTGTTGCCAGGGAAGGAAGCAGGACCATAGTGCTATTGAAAGGCAGCAGGACTGTGGTAACATTCAGCCTCCTCCCTTATGCAATGCTCTTGATCAAAATCTGGTTCTTTGCCTCATTTACTGGATTCCTCTATGCTAATTTCATTTGCAAAAGACTTGGAAGTCTCATTATAATCTCATTAACTTGCCCAAATGAGAATATTCTATCTATCACATCAACATTCTTTTGAATGACATCATCAAAGGCATCCATGGGGGGGAGGTACGGGGGGGCAGTAATGAGAGCAACAGCGCAATGCAAACTTTGTCCATTTTGTACATTGTATTGCGGTGCCACATGCTTATTCACAACAGGCAGAGCTGACATTGTGCCATTCCCTTCATCATTTTG